GGTCTGCACAGATAATATGAAGCTTCTCGCAGCTAGCGTAGCTTAGCATCAGGACTATAAACGGTGAACAGCAAAGAATGGGTCTGTCAAAAAGGAACAAATCACCCCACTAGTGGCTTTAAATCTCCGTTTATCTCATTTGTTTAATCATTGTGTCAACAAAACAAGAACTCGCTGACATCAGCTGAAACATTTTCTCAGCTACCTCTGACACTTCCAGCACACAAAGTGAAGTCAGACATACTGTTATTCTCATCATGAAATATTATAATACTATATAATGTAGTGAGTGCTTCAGTGTGTGAACAGTTTGCTGTGTTTGTCTGCCGGCTGCAGGTGATCATTGAGAGATACAAGGGAGAGAAGCAGCTCCCCGTTTTGGACAAAACCAAGTTCCTGGTACCCGACCACGTCAACATGAGCGAGCTGGTTAAGATCATCAGGTAAACACTGACACACACACACACACACACACACACACACACACACACACACACACACACACACACACACACACACACACACACACACACACACACACACAGAGTATTGAGGTCATTTAAGTTGATGTTTGGCATGTGTGCTGGTGGTGTTAAACACAGCGGAGGTGTAACATGACGTGTGTGTGTTTGTGTTGATTTCGCGGCTTGCTGAGGAAGCCGTCCACCAGTTTGTTTACAATCAATGCCGTGTCAACAAGGGGTGAAGAACAGAGGGTCATAATACAGTCACCGGCAGAATTACGAGGCAGTAAATTCAGATTTGATCGTCCTGCGGGGCAGAAAGACTATCGTATATCTCTGGGCTTTGAGAGGGTTGTTAATAATTATCAGAGTTTAATGCTGAGGCAGAGAAGTGGAGGCAGTTATGTCCTGATGTAAAATCAATTTGCAGTAGAATCATATCGTCTCGCTGCGTTAATAGTTGTCAGCGTGTGTCAGAACCCTCTGCGCCGCCAACAATGCTTGAAGAGCCAAAAAGAGACCGAGAGGAGCGAGTGAGCTGACAGCACAAAGAGTTTTTAAATCTTTCTGAAAACAAACATACGACACATAAATGTAAGACCGACGCGTGAAATCCGGCTTGTTGCTTAACTAAAGTCATTCACCTGATTATTCATGTGAAGAGTCATCACCAGGCTGTTAAACATTGATTCAAAGGTGTCAAGGTTCACATCAGTACTCTGAAAAATGACTTTTTTTAGACAGCAGAGGGCGCTATCCATTAAGGCTTCTCTTGTCTGATGTCCCGTCAGCAGCTCTGGAGCAGGGAGAGACGGACGACGTGTGCTAGCTCAGCTAAAAGCTGCTAACGAGCTAACAGGCTATTCCTTTCATTTCAGTTGTTGGTGTTGATTGTGACTAGAGCCCCAGAATAAGTGTTATTTAGCCTGTTGTTAGGTTGACCAGGATGGAGACCGCCATCGATGGGATTCCAAGGCCCACTTCTGTAACCAGTGGGTGACATCACTCAGGCTGCGTCCATGTTTATTTACAGTCTAGGTAGCACACTCTCTCCACAGAACTCCATACTCAGTGATAAACATGAACACAACATGTCTGCATGAGTTGAGCAAACAATAAAATTAGCATGACAAACAATAAAAAAAAACACTCCATGCTGGGATGATAAGCTCGTAGTGCTGTGACAAACCGAGGCCTTGCAGCTTCAACCCCAAACATGAATAACTCATAACAAATGAATTAGCTCCGGTTGCCTCTTCCACTGGTCTTTGCATTAACTTTGTTTTATTGCAATATCCAAAAACATGAGAACACACTAACAGAGGAGGTGATCCCCACTCCAGAAGCCTCTTTCTTCTGATGACTGGATTTTTAAGCATCCAAAACCAGGTGCACCTAATTGGAGAATCAGAATCACCTGCAGAGCTGCAGACCACAGAGAGAGAAAATCAAAACAAGCAACACAATGAGAATCTATAGGGGACTTAGTATGACTAGACGTGTAGAAAGAGGGACGGTGGGTGGTAGTTTTTTATGTTTGAGAGTCCGACTAGCTCTAGAAAAACCCATTAACTTGTGCTTTTCCTCTGTCTCCCCTGTGGTAGGCGTCGTCTGCAGCTGAACCCCACTCAGGCCTTCTTCCTGCTGGTGAACCAGCACAGCATGGTGTCCGTGTCCACGCCCATCTCCGAGATCTATGAGCAGGAGAGAGACGAGGACGGCTTCCTCTACATGGTCTACGCCTCTCAGGAGACCTTCGGCTGCTAGGGAGGAAGAGGGGGGAGGGAGAGCGGGACATCTTCAGGTGCAGGGAGGACGGCGAGAGGGTAGAAGGGGGGTGAGGGGGTGAGGGGGGAGGGCGATGGAGGGGGGGGGGGGGGGAGGGGTATGTGGTGCCAGAACCTGACCAAGAACCACCAACTCCATTATCGTCTCCACTTTGTCGCACGTAGCAGACAGTCAGTGTACTTGTGACAGACACCCCCTTGTCCCCCCCTCTCTCTCTCTCTGTCGTAGAAATGCACCCTCTTTATATCGGTCAGTAAATGCAACACTAGCTACAGAAGCCCGAGGACATCTCGTGTGTCTCTCGTCGCCCTCAGAGCTCATCACACCTGTGAGTCCTCTGAGAGTTTGATTTTTCTCTTTTTATCCCACGCAGACGGACGTCTCTTATTTTGAAAGGGTGGGGAATGACTTTGGAGAGTTTGGGAGTTAAAACTGATTTTAATCCTTAAAACTATAAACGTGCTGAGCAAAGAAACAAGGCAGACGCCTGCAACAGTTCAGGACGTCATCTGACGCTCTGAGTCGTGACGATCCAGACATTAACCATCGGTCCATATTCTCGCTCTCACACCGCTGACGTAGAAACTAGAAGATTTGATTGTTGTTCTACTTTTTTAACTTTTTTTTAAAATCACTTTCTTAGTTTTTATTTCTGTTGACTTCTCGTCTTAGTTTGAGATATTAGCCGTAGCTTAGTTCGTGTTGTTAAAGATGGATCTGGGTTTGTTTTTTTGATCTTACATTTACCGTCAGCCTGAAGCTCAACTCGCCAACTCGCCGCTGGCTGCAGAGTCGCTGACAATCGGGCTAACACAGACTGTAAAAAAACACACACAGTTAATGTTTCACGTGCAATATTTACCCCCGTCACACCTCCGTAGGCGCCCCCTGTAAAGATACGGTAATTTACTGTCACACAAGGGAACTTAGCATTAGCGCCTTTAGCCACACGCTGCTACATCCTGTCAGGCATGTTAACAGACTGAACCCCCCCCCCCCTCTGTAAGCACAACACACCTTAAATATCACAACTCGCCTGTCTTCCTGATGTGCACACATTACCCTTACACACACACACACACACATTTAATGTCACAACCGACCAATCGGGTGAAGGAGGTTTGTCTCGGTTGTGGAAATCCGAGGGACGCACTGCGCTCCCACAGGTTGTATTCTTGTTGCTTCTCACGCTTCAGATTGTCTCTTTAGAGTAGAATGAAAAACACAAAACGTGGGGTGGAAGAATATTAAGAGGCGAGCTCTAATCTAGCTTCAAACTGACATCGCTGGTTTGGATTAGCGGTCTCAAAACAACGGGTCACAAGCAATTAGCATGATTACAGGTCGGCTGTTTGGACACACTGTGTGATCTCACTTCCCCCGGACAACGCGGCGAAAACGCCAATAAAATGATCCCGTTGTGTGGACACAGCCTGTCCTTGGCAGCGGGGGAAGCCAGGAAGTAATCAGATCCCAGAAAAGCTTCTGAGCCGAGGCGAGGTGACACTGGGGCCCCGCTTTAAATATCATTTCCTCCTCTGGAGACGGCTTGTAAAGAAAACGCTGCGTGTGTCATGGTAGCATAGAGTCGAGCATTAGACATAACAAAGTGTATTTAATGTTGGAAACGAATGAGCTTCTTTTGCACATAAATTAATACAAATATAATAAAGAGTTGGCATAGAGTTTGTTTTTTTTAGGAATGACTGTATCTCTATATCGATCTCTTCTTTTTGTATCTCCTCCTCTCTCCGTCTGTCTGCCTTTGTTTAATGAGACGTTTAGACCACAAAGGTTGTGATGCACTACAAACCTTGCATGTCTTCTTTTTTTATAAATGTGTTTTGATTTTAGCCGTTGGATTTAATTGTACTGTTTTCATTTTTTAGAGGAGTCTTTTAGATGTTTCCCCAAAAAACCAAAAACTGAAATAAATGTATGTGTATGTTTGAAACAAAAAAAAGTGTGCGTATAAACGATCATATAATCGAGCTGTGTGTTTTTCTTTAGGCTTCCTGACGTGGTCACTGTTCAGAGGGGTGTATATAGACGCATTGCTACAACCTTATTCAAAGCATTTGCAAATAAATAAAAAAAAAAAAGTTGCCTTTAAAACAGTTTTCTGCTCGTTTGTGTTTTGCAGTCTGGATGAAGTTTGACTCGTCTTCAAGGTCTCGGAGTACGATGTGATACACTTTATTGTCTCCTTAGGGAAATTTGTCTTGGACCTTAGAGAGCCGCTTTCAACGAGAATCACAAATCGGGCCTAAAATGGAAAGATAAACAACTAGGCGAAGTTCAGGTCGCAAGCATGGCAGCACCACGGGATGACTCCAGAGCAGGGGTGTGTCCAGGGGTGGCATGGGCCCCCCTAAAGTCCTACATTTTGATTGGCTAGTTGCCTAATTAGAGGCAGGACTTAAGTACAAAACCAGCACTCTCAGTTGTGAATTCATATTTTGCTCTTTCCATAAAAATGTTTAAAGCAGAAACTCGTGCACACGGTCATACTAGAAATGGACTTAAGTGCCAATAAATGTGTTTTTGTAAATTCCTTAACGCTAGTCTAACGGCGCCCACACCTTGTTTCTAACTCTACCTCAGGCTGTGAACTGTGTTGCAGTAAAAGGTCTGGTATGTCTTAAACTTCAGAGGCATGAAATGTAGATACTTCACAAGACTCCTCGGATACATCATGACAACGACATGTGATTCAACCAATCAGGGTCCAAAAACACACCAAGCAGATAAAAAGAGGGTGATTTATTTTATTATACAGACGTCATGATCCATGTTAGAGCTCACAGAGGACTGTGATTTGGTACAGAAACACAGACGTAAAAAAAAAGAAACACGCTCTCAGCTCCAGTTTGCATCTCAATCCTCCTCACCTCTGCTTTCAAACGTTTCCTTACAGTGTCGGCGTCCATACAAGAGCACAGAAAGAAAAAAAAAAAAGATCACTGCATGTGTATTTAAGATATCGCATGTCGTATATACTCAGTAAACTAGACTTCACTCGAAGTTTACAGCACTTTGGCAGACGTTCAATAACATCACTTTCAAAATGAAAAAGATTCCTGTTTCATTCTGGACTTTAGAAGGTCGGAGTGGATAGATACTAAACAAGTCTGGACTTGGAAATCGTATTTTGTCGGGTGCAAAAGGATTTCTTTAGAACCAGAATCGTCCGTCACAAAGTGTTTGTCAAAGCCAGAATCTACCGACAAAAAGTGTTTTTAAAGACGCTGGATGCTCGAGTTGTTTATCAGCTGTTCACACTAACATCTGAACTCTTCATTGTAAACACCAAACAAACAGATCAAGCAGTAAATAAACCTCCGACTCGTGTAAATCTCTGCTTTTCTCCAAGGAGTCTGGCGGCTTTGCAGAGATTAATGTTAACTCACTGCAACATAAAGGTCTGTAAATGTAGAGATGGAGAATTGAAGTGATGTCAGACACTTCAGGTGACTGAATCAATGAGGCAAAAACAAGAACGTTTAGAGGATGCATTTTGATCAGGAGCTTTTCCTGCAGGGACTATATGCTGCAGTTTTACTCGTTTCAAGTTGAAGAAATCGAGCAAAAACAGAAACTTTGTACTCCCACTTAAAGGCCAAACATGAATATTCTGGATTAATTTAAACGACAAAACGGGAGTTCCCATTTTATGTAAGCATTTGCTGCAGTTGGAGCTTCGGGTAAATGTTGACAGGAATCTTAAACTACGGAAGCCCCAAGCAGACATTCATCCATTTTCCTGTGATAAAGTGTTGATCTGGATAGATTTCAGCTTATTTTTCTCGAGCTAACAAAGCTCATTCTCTGGTGAGAAAACGAACAGAAAGTATGAATTAAAATTGTTTTAAAAAGCAAAAAAACAACGAGGAGATTCTCACTATTGAAGGAAAACTGAAGATGACAAAAAGCAGTCGAGTTCGAGCGAGACTAAAAAAAGTAGCCGAAGCATCAGGGAGGGGATTCTGTCCTCTGATAGTTTCCCATCAGGGGGAAACACAGAGGAGAGATTTACACCTTGTGATGTTTAAACAACACAGGCACATGTATAAGTTTTATTTTGATCATTTCAGCTTCTCGTTCTCCACACCGGGAGAAAACATTTGATTTAAAAAAAAAAACGTTCATGACAGCAACAGAGGCTGAACTATCAGACTTCTCACACGGCGCTCGCTCTACCTGTTTTAATGTCTCCCTACAGCCAATTATCTCCCCCGGCTCGGGTCAACAACACGTGATGAGGGGACGTGCACAGCTGCAGGATTTCTCCCTTTAAAACTTCATCTTTTTGATTAAGTTTGTGCAGAAAGCTGATTCGAACGGAGGAGATCTGTTAGTAAAGATTAATTCAAAAGCAGATAAAGTTTGAAAACGATCAGAGCGACGCTCATGAGTGAACAGTTCTGAGAGAGAGGAGGAGGCGTTTGAAGTGGAGAAATGAGGTCCAGCAGCTCGTTGTCTTCATGTGTGAGACCGGTGGGATCCTGCAGTAGAGCTCTTTGAGGGCAGGAACCTTCAGAGGCGACTTTAGGCCATGCTGTTCAGAGAGAGAGAGAGAGAAGAGAGGATGTTAAAGAACAGGTTACTCATTTTAAAGTCAGAGACACTTCTGATTCAGCTGCACATCAGAAACAAGCTGCTCTCCAAAAAGGTTCAGGAGGATTCTAACAACAATCTGATTGGCTGTTCAGAGGTTTCATCTCTCTCCAGCTCTCAGGTTCAGGAAAGCCCCTTGAGCATGTCGCTGTAGTCTCCATGCTTTCACCCATTAGTGAGGTTTCTCCTTATTTGTCTCTCCTCTTCTTCTTTTCTTTTTCCACTAAAAGACCAAGAGCTGACAACGCCAGCGCCATCTTCTACTTCTTATCAGACGTTATTCTCCATTAGTAGACGACCTATAATACGAGTGGTGACCGACAGCGGGGTGAAAATGGTCTTCTCGTATCATAAACAACGGACTACCGCCCCCTGCTGCCATGGAGAGTTATTTCCTCTCACGCATGAGCAGAACGTACGTGGTGGTTGGTTGTCGGCTGTAGTCTTTGCAGTGTGTTCAAGTGCAACTTTTTGGCAAAGACAAACGGCAACCACTTGTTCTTGCCGTCTGCTTGGTGTGTCAGGGCTTTGAGGAGGGTGGGGGTGTCACAGATTACAGATATAGGAAATTAATTGATTCTTTTAATCATTATTTTTGGGGCCTTTATAGAGAGAAGAATAAAGACAGTGA